ATTGCTTTTTTTTTTTTTTTTTTTTTTTTCTATGACAAGTACTGGATATATTGCATTGGATTATACTTGGACATATAGTATCTTGGGCAATTACAAATTCTCACAGAGAATAAATACTTAGAAGTTGAAACTGCTCAGGTATTCACATTGCAGAGTTGTATAAATACTTTCTGATGATCATTCCAAAGGTTATATTTAAATACCCACCAGTGCTAGTGAGATGGCTCAGTGGATAAAAGCACTTGCCGCCAAACCCGACGAGCTGAGTTGGAACCCCAGAACCCACATGGTGGAAGGAGAATCAATTCCCAGAAGTTGTCTTCTGACTTCATATCTGTTTTGAGGTGTGTCCGCCCCTCTCATACACAGACACAGACTCTCTCGCTCTCGCTCTCTCTCTTTCTAAATCTATTTAAAAAAAAAAACCCACCAAAATGTAAGCTCCCTGAGGGAAGAACACGGTGACTGTGGCTCACGCAGTGTAACTTAATCTGTGATGGATGGTAGCAGTCTGAAAGATGAACAGGAGAAAGGCTGTTAGGAAGTGATTTTCTAGGACATTCTACATATATTTGGATACTGCTGGGCCTTGAGTATTCAGGCTATTTAGCAGACTCAGCTCAGTTATCACAGTCTCAGAGCATGCAAGGGAAGGTGCCTGGCTTCTGCCTTCTTATTCTTAGCAGTACTGGAGTGTGTGGCAGGGAGGCCCTCACACGGGGTAGGTGCAGACATTTGAATAACCAGTCTGGCTCAGTACTTAAGAGCATTTGCTGCTTCTGCAGACAACTCAAATTCAGTTCCCATCACCCACCCTGGATGGTTCACAACCACCTATAATTCCAGCTCCAGGGGATCCAACAGCTGGTCTCCACAGGCACCTGAACTTAATATGCACATACCCATAAACAGATACAAGCATACACACTAATTAAAAATAAGTATTTTTTTTTTTATGGCCGGGCGTGGTGGTGCACGCCTTTAATCCCAGCACTTGGGAGGCAGAGGCAGGCGGATCTCTGTGAGTTCAAGGCCAGCCTGGTCTACATAGCGAGTTCCAGGCCAGCTGGGGCTACAGGGAGACCCTGTCTCAAAAAGACTAAATAAATAAATAATAAATAAATAAATAAATAAAAGTGTTTTTTTGAAATGAAATATTTACCCTATCCCAGGCATATACAAACTGCCTTTAATTTTCTATTGATTTGTTTAATAGATGATATATTTGCATGAATCAAAAATACAAAAGTTAGAAAAGATATTTATTGACCATCCTCCCATCTTGCTATTTCCTACCCCATCCAGAAACTTATACAAATGCATATAAATTCCCCATGTTTTAATGTTCTTTTATTAAACCTACAAATTAAGTATAAGGTTTTTTTTTTTTCCCCCTCTTGTTTAGGACTTGGTTTCAGGGTATTAGTGGTTTGCATGTATGGTATTAGAATTTTAAGAATATATTTTTTGTTTTTATTTTATGTGTATGGGTATTTTGCCTGCATATATATAAATGTACTTGTGTTGTGCAGTGCCCATAGAGGCCAGAAGAGGGCATCAGATCCCCTGGAACTGGGGTTAGGGATGGTTGTTAGTTGTCATGTGGGTATTGGGAATCAAATTCAGGTCTTGACTGCAAGAACAGCCAGTGCTCTTAACCACTGAGCCATTTCTCCAGTTCCTGGTATTAGAATTTTGACTTGTTCACAGTTGTTACTTTGCTTAAAAGATAGACCAGAAGCCTTCCTGTGTGTTTCTCAGAGGTGGTCATCTGTTGCCTGCGTTTTGTGGGGTTTTCTTTTTTTTTTTTTTTTTTTTTTTTTTTGATTATAAAATCTTGTGGTTATCACAATTTCATGACTCACAAGATTACAAAACAAAGATTTAGAGCAGTTCCGCACTGTTTCCAGCTGTGGTCTCGTTGACTGGTGCTCTGTGTCCCCCTGCAGCATGGGAATCATTGTGCTGGAGCTGTACTGGAAGCACGCACCAAAGACCTGCAAGAACTTTGCAGAGTTGGCCCGTCGAGGTTACTACAACGGGACCAAATTCCACAGAATCATCAAAGACTTCATGATCCAAGGTGGTGACCCAACAGGAACAGGTACCTTTAAGCCACTGTGGCCATCTTAAGTCTCACTCTCATTGCAGGGCAGGAAGGCAGCCAGAACTTTCCCACTTTTCTGGGTCTGGTTTGATTTTTTTTTTTTTTTAATAATATCTATTTTCATTTTATGTGTATGAGTGTTTTTCTTGCATGTATGTAAATGCACCTGTGTCATGCAATGCCCACAGAGGTCAGGAGAGGGTGTTGGATACCCTGGAACTGGAGTTATGGATGACTGTTTCCACTGTGTGGGTGCTGGGAACCAAACACAGGAACCTGGGTCCTCTGCAAGAGCAGCCAGTGCTCTTAACTACTAGGCCATCTCTCCAGCCCCCACCCTCCTTTTTTAAAGACAGTATCTCATGTGGCCCAGGCTGGTCTTCAACTTACTGTGTAGCTAAGAATGACCCAATCTTCTCATCCTCCTGCCTCTGTCTCCCGAGTGCTGGGATTTCAGCTGTGTCACCATGCTCAGGTTGTGCAGGGCTGGGAATTGAACCCAGGACTTCGTGCACACTAGGCAAGGCAAGTTCTCTACCAGTTGTTTTTTTTTCTCTCTCTCTCTCTCTCTCTCTCTGACAGGGTATTAAGGTAGTCTAGGCTGTCTTTGAACTGTCTCTGTCTTTACCTTCCAAGTTCTGGAATCACAGGCATATGCCTGACTCTTGGGTTCATTGATTCTGATGACTTTTTGCCTTCCTGAAACACATGTAATTCACTAGAAATTAATCTTCACCCTTTACCTTGCCAGTTTTCATGACCTTCATGTGTTGTTCACTAAGAGCAAGTAAGACTGAACTGGAGTGATTCATGGATTCTGATCAGTCAGACTTGAAAAAGACAGTCCCGCGTTTCTGGAAAGAATAAAGTGTTGGTTCCTTTACTGATTATTTAACAAATGTTGAGCACCTATTTTGTGTGAGATATTTTTCTAAGCTCGAGGGATATAACTGAGCAAAGAGACAAGTTCCTATTCTTAGTAAAGCAGGAAAAGGGTATGGGGATCCAGCTTAGTAGAAAAGTCAGAAAAGGCCTCCATGGGGTGTTACTGGAGCAGAGATCTGACTGAAGAGGGAGCAGAGCATTCTGGGTGATTCAGGAGCAGGTACAGGGGTTCCTGAGTCAGGTGCCTGTCGAGACCTCATAGAGTGAGGTAGAGATAGTTTTCTGTGAAAGATGTGAACTTTTATGGAGTGCCAGGGTCTGGCCTGAGCTTTAAGAAATCCCTCTGAGCCAGGTGTGGTACACATGCCTTTTAATCCCGGCACTCCAGAGGCAGAGGCAGACGGATCAAACCAAAAGGAAGAAGAAGCGATCCCTCTGACTGCTGTTTGGAGGTTAGGTAGGAAAGTAGAGAAGAAAACCAGTACAAACCAGGTCAGGTAAAAGTGTGTTCTGCCCATGCAGTCTAGAAAACATGGTTGGAGGTAGGATGGTAGTGGAGAAGGTGGTTAAGAAGTCTTCACCTTCTCAGTGCTGGGATCACTGCAGCGTGGGACCCTGCCCGGTTTGTATAGTGCTGGCAGCCCAGGGCTTGTGCGTGCTGAGCCACAGGTTGGAAGACATGCTGGGGACAGGTTGGATGGGTCGTATGAAAGAAAGTGGTCAGGGGCCTTAGAGACTGACTATGTAGTGAAAGGAGGAAGGCTGAGGGCAGAGGAGCAGCTTTGAATGTGGAGTTAAGGGGTGATCTGGCATAGAGGTGCAAATCCGAAGTTAACCCACTTAGGCAGGGTTTTCTGTTCTTGGTGGGGTACGTATGTGCTCATGTGTGTGCACATGTGCATGTACATATGTGCAGAAGTCGACACCTAGTGTCTTCCTCTATTGTGTACCACTGTAATTTATTTTCGTTTGTTTTTTGAGGCAGTCTCCCTCTATCCTCAGCTGGCCTGGAACTCACTATGTAGGCCAGGCTGGCCTCAATCTCAGAGATCCACCTTCTTCTGCCTTTTGGGTGCTGGGACTAAAGGCATTACCCACCACAGCCAGCCACCACATTTTTAAAGAAATTTTTTGGATTGATTTATTGACGTGTATGAGCATTTCCCTGCATGTAGGCAAGTGCACCTGTGTTGTGCAGTGCCTGCAGAGGCCAGAAGAGGGAGTCACATCCCCTGGAACCGGAGTTACAGAAGGTTGTTAGCTGCCATGTGGGTGCTGGGAACAAAACCTAGGTCCTCTGGAAGAGCAGCCAGTGCTCTGAACTGCTGAGCCATCTCTCCAGTACTTTTTGAGACAGGCTTTCTCCCTGAGCCCCCACCTGTCTTTGCCTTCCCAGTTCTGGGGGTTGCAGATGCTTGACACCACAGCTACCTAAGGATCCAAACCTCAAGTTCAAATCTTTGTAGGGCAGGCACTCTACCAACTGGGCCATCACCTCAGCTCCTCCCCACTTTTTTTTTTGTGTGTGAGACAGGGTCTCCTGTAGCCATGATTCACTTTGTACCCAACGATGGCTTTGGACTTCTGGTCCTCCTGCCTCTGCCCCAAGTGCCAGGGTCTCAGGTATGCACAGCCCCAAGCAGAGGGTAGAGCATATACTGGGTACAGGACCTTGCTTCTCTGATGGCTCTGAGTGGCTCCTGCTCCTGAGCTTGTTTTTCTGGGCAGAGGCTTGTTCCTTGCTCACTGCTCTCGGTTTCCCTTTATGGCTAGAAACACTCAGAACAAACTGAAAACAGGATCTAAGAAGGCAGGGAGGGTGCATCTCAGAAGCAGAGCTGCTAGAGGTTTCCTGCGCTGTTGGCTTATCTCCGTCCCACCACAGAATCACTTTTGGAAGCCATCGTCCAAGCCTAGAGGTCTTTTTTTCAGATCTCAAACTAAAAGGATAGTTGGACAGATAACTGGCTAAATGGAAATGATTTTTTAAAATGGGCTATGTTAGGAGTGCTATTTTTAATATTTTATTTATTATTTTTATTTTATGTGTATGGTGTATTGCCCACATATAGGTAAGTGCACCTGTGTTAGTTATGCAACGCCTTCAGAGGATAGAAGAGGCTGTCGGATCCCTTGGTACTGGAGTTACGGACAGTTGTTAGCTGCCATGTGGGTGCTGGGATTTGATCCTGGGTCTTCTGCAAGAACAATCAATGTTCTTTTTTGGGGGGGGATGGTCTTTTTGAGACAGGGTCTCCCTGTAGCCCCAGCTGTCCTGGAACTCACTATGTAGACCAGGCTGGACTTGAACTCACAGAGATCCGCCTGCCTCTGCCTCCCAAGTGCTGGGACTACAGGCGTGCACCACCATGCCTGGCAGGTGCTATTTTTAAGAAAAAAATATACTATGTTTAATTTTGTGTACATTTCACAGAAAAACTGACTTCCTATGAAAGATGAGGAAATTTTACTTAAAAGTTTCTATTCTCTCTCTGTTCTCCTGTCTCTTGCTCTTGCTCTCTCTGAAACAAGGTACTTGCTATGTAGACCAGGCTGGCCTTGATCTCACAGCACTCCATCTGCCTCTGCGTCCCAAGTGCTGGGTAAGGCATCACCATGCCTGGTTCCCATCCTAATTTTTGTTGTCAGTTTTATTGTTTTCTATATCCAAACTCAGACCTGGTTTCAGGGGGTTTGGTTCTTCCCACTTTGTTATTTTAACAAGAGTTCAGAGCTCCAGCAGGATTTCTTTTTTTAAAAAAAACATTAATTTGTTTATTCACCATGATCAAGTAGGCTTTATTCCAGAGATGCAGGGATGATTCAATATACTTAAGTCAATAAAACATCATCAATCATATAAATGGCTTAAAAGACAAAAACCACAGCGTCATCTTATTAGATGCAGCAAAGGCTTTTGACAAAATTCATGCATTCATGATAAGTTCTAAAGGGAATTGGACTGGATGAAACATCCCACAACATAATTAAAGCTATATACAACAAATCCACAGCCAACATCATTCTAAATGGAGAAAAACTGGAAGCATTTCCATTAAGATCAGGAACCAGACAAGGATGTCCACTACCTCCACTCCTTTTCAACATAGTGCTTGAAACCCTTGCTAGAGCAATAAGACAGGAGAAGGAAATTAAAGGAGCACTAATTGGGAAAGAAGAGGTCAAATTATCCCTTTTTGCAGACGATATGATACTATACCTAAGAGATCCCAAAATTCCACCAGAAAACTCCTAGAACTGATCAACACTTTTAGTAAAGTAGCAGGTTACAGAATTAATCTACAAAAATCAGTAGCCTTTCTTTTTGCCAGGCGTGGTGGCTCATGCCTTTAATCCCAGCACTCAGGAGGCAGAGGCAGGTGGATGTCTATGAGTTCAAGGCCATCCTGGTCTACATAGTTCTAGGCTGGCTGGGGCTACAGGGAGACCCTGTCTCAAAAAGAGCCCCCCCCCCAAAAAAATCAGTAGCCTTTTTATATACCAATAACAAGCAATTGGAGAAAGGGTACAGGAAAACCCTGCCATTAACAATACCTTTAAAAAAAAAACCTTGGAAAAGACCTGACCAAAGACATCAAAGATCTCTACAATGAAAATTTTAAATCTTTAAAAGAAAGAGATTGAGGAAGACACCAGGAGATGGAAGGACCTCCCATGCTCATGTATTGGAAGAATTTATATTGTGTCCCTCAGCTGACAAGTGGTTAACAAAACTGGGGTACATTTACACAGTGGGGCTCTCAGCAGTAAAGAAAGATGAAGTAATGAAATTTGCAGGGAAATGGATCTAGAAACTTACACTAAGTGAAGTAACACAGACTCAGAAAAACAAAAGATGTGTTTTCACCCTCATTTGTGGATCCTAACACCAAATCCCTATAATAGGTGGACTCCCACTGAAAACAGATGGAATCCCATGGAAAACAGAAGATGCAAAGACCCAAAAGTTCAGTGCCTTGCCACAATGGGAGGAAGCTCATCCCACACCTGTTCCACCCCCCTCCCCCCAAGGCTCAAGGACTTTTGCCGAAGAGGTTGTTGGAAAGAATGTAAGAACTGGAGGAAGGGGTGGAGTGTTACCCAGAAGTGTC